CAAAGTGTTATTTCTAAAATAAGACAGAATTTATCAGTCTAGACTGATAAGCAAAATTATATAAGAGATTTGTCTCCTTTATTCTGGATGTAGCATCATAACTGTTTAAAATCAACATTGCAACTACCTATAGGTAATGTGCATATCTCATCACAGTTTGACTCAAGAGCTCATAGTCACTTAAAACTTCTCAATCTGATAGAAGATCTATATACAAAAAATTGCTTGCATTTATATATACTAGCAATTAACAACTGGAAATGCAATTAAAATACTCCACTTGCAATAGTATGAAAAAGAAAAGTACTTAGCAATAAGAAAGGCAAAATAAATGCAAGACTGGCACACTTAATAGCTGTAAAACAATGCTGAAAGAAATTTTAAAAGACTTAAGTAAATGGAGAGACATTCCATGTTTATGGATTGAAAAACAAATCAGTATTATTAAGTTGACATTTCTCTCCAATTGATCTATATATAAAATGTAATATCTATCAAAAATATAGCAAGATTATTTTAATTGACAGACTGATCTTATTATTTACAAAAAAATATAATACACTCAGAATAGCCAAAACAATCTTGAAAAGGAACAACAGAATCACAGTCCTTTAACATGTAGACTTCAAACCTTATTGTAAAGCTATAGTAATCAAGGCATACCTGTATAAAAACATCTCATGTTTTTAATCTCATCCCATAAATATACACATGTACTATGTAATCACAAAATCTAAAAATTAAAAATAAAACAAGAAAATATGGTACTAACATAGGGATAAGTAAAAAATTGAAAGTTGAGAAATAAACTCATGTTTGTGGTCAGTTATTTTTTACAAATGTGCTAAAGAAGTTCAATAAGAACAATATATCATTTAAAAATGTGTTATAAAGACTGGGATTACTGAATAGCAACATGCAAATAACCTTACCTAACGACACACACACACACACACACACACACACACTTGAAATAGATTGTAGATCTAGATTTAAGAAATAAAAGCAACATATAAGAAACCATGAGAAAAAAAAACAATGTGTTTAGAACAGGTAAATGATATATCAAAAGCATGAAAAATAAAATGCTGAGTTGAACTTTATTAAAATTAAAAGCTTCTGTATTTCAGAAGACACAAATTAGGAGTTCAGGTTCTGCTCTGACACATAAAGGTCTGGAAGTCTCTACTTCCACCTTCGCAACAAGCAAAAGACTGAACAGACTGATAATCAATAACTGTTTTTAGATGTATCAAATAATTGATGTTACAGAAAAACTACCACCTCCAACTGGAGCGACAGTGAACACAGAGAACACAGACAAGCTACCTAAGTGAAAGCTGCTGAAGCTAGTAGTTGATGGGAATACTTATGTAATACCTTTAATAACTTTTTGGAGGCTAAGTGTGGACTACAATGACGTATAAAATCTCCTGGAGGCTTAAGCTACAGTAGGGTGAGACCTCACCACTGTGAATTTTACTTGTATGAGCACCATGAGGTTTTAATGGTGAAGATGGGAGAACAGGAAAGTTCCACTTGTGTTTGTTCAGAGGGGGAAAGAAAGTAATCATTTTTCAATGTAAGCATAAACTTACCATCAAACCCTATGTCTAGGTATCTACCCAACAGAGATGAAAACACAGCCATACAAAGTGGTTTATGCAAATGTTCATAGCATCATTTCTCATAACAGCTCCAAATTAAAAATAATCCAAAAGATATCAACTGGTGAATGGATAAAGAAATGTGGTACAGGCCGGGCGTGGTGGCTCAAGCCTGTAATATCAGCACTTTGGGAGGCCGAGACGGGTGGATCACGAGGTCGAGAGATCGAGACCATTCCTGGTCAACATGGTGAAACCCCGTCTCTTCTAAAGATACAAAAAATTAGCTGGGCATGGTGGCGCGTGCCTGTAATCCCAGCTACTCGGGAGGCTGAGGCAGGAGAATTGCCTGAGCCCAGGAGGCAGAGGTTGGGGTGAGCCGAGATGGCGCCATTGCACTTCAGCCTGGGTAACAAGAGCGAAACTCTGTCTCAAAAAAAAAAAAAAAAAGAAAAAGAAATGTGGTACAACATACAATGAAATGTTTTTCAGCAGTAAAAAGGTACAAACAAATACAAAAAGAAACTATGTTTATAGTTGCCTAAGGCTGAGGGTGGGGACAAGGTCTCATTAAAAATAAAAATTAAAAAAGTAACATAAAAGCATGTGGGATCATATTAGGGAGATGAAAATTTTCCAAAGATGGCTTACAGTACTGACTGCCCAACTCAGTAAATGTAACGAATTATTGAAACATACACTTAAAGGAGTGATTTTTTATGTCATGTAAATTATATCTGAATAAAGCTATTTTAAAAATTGTATTTTTCAAAAATAATTAGCTTTATTGTGCCTTTTTGCTGATTCTAATTATTAACATAGCACCAATCTCTTCTGTTCAGAAGCAAATAGGAAAAAGTTAACCGACCAAAAATAACTCCTACTCTAGTTTTCTTTCTTGATAATTATAATTATTTTAGCCAATAAAACATATATTTAGGGCCAATTATTTCTGTTATTGCCTAAATTCCTGTTCCTATTTAATCTCACTTTAATTATTTTTAAAATTTTCTAATTCAGCAATTTTGGGATTTCTGAATCCATTACAGCAGAAAATCAAATTATAACAAGAAATAAGAATAAAGTTACTATCAATTTTATTAAGGGCATTAAAAACAAAGTTAAACTACATTATAACCTACTTTCTTTCATCAGATACAACTAAATAGCATTCATTGAATAACTGATTAAAGTCATATAAAGGCTTATGTTAAGTTCTAAAACCCACACAAAAATAGACAAAATATAAAGGTAGAAATGTGATAATTTTATTTTGTGTTTTTAAAAAATGAAATTATATTCTGATTTCTTAGTTGGGCATTCAATAAAGCAACCCAAATTGGAGCTTAAGTCTCTAGGTTGGTAGAGTCAGTATTTTTATATTGCTACATTAAAATTGAAGCAATACATTTCAAAATATTTAATGCAAATCAGATTATTGCTAAATTTAGACAAGGCAGGGAACAAACTCTCTCTAATTTTATTTATTGAAAATATCCAGATTAGTTGCTCAGAATCTGAATTTCTAAAAGCTTCCAAGATGGTTCTTATAAATGGGAAATGTATTATTAGTGAAAAATGACATATACATTTGAAACACCTGGAGGAATTACAAAATTAATACAACTCACGTCTAGATGTTACCCATTGAGGTACTGAGGTAGTTTTTCTGGAATGGGTTGTGGGCATCAGTATTTTGTTGATACTATTCTGAACAGAGCTATGAAGTACTGGTTGAGAACCTGAAAACTGATGTTCATCAATGTCCCCCTAATTCCTGTTACTCCCACCTGATTTATGTCACTCATTGTATTACTTTCCTCATTTTTATCTATAATTGAATCTGCAGGCTGTAAATATGGAGCACTTTTTGTACTAAAAGGAGTAGCTTCTTAGGAGAAGAGACTCCAATAATAAAAGTGTAGAGAACAGAAGTCAGGTTAGTGAAAGTACATTTATGTTTGTGCCGGTGGAGGCAGCTTATAGAAGAACTCCAGATCCAGATTGAAACCAGAACAAGTATGCTTCTGGAATTTACTGAGGACAGAAGAATTATCACTGACAAAGAGAACAACAAAAGTAGGAGAGAGAAACAAAAACATATGAATAAAACAATGTATGATCTTAAGCAGACTTCAGTTAAGAAAAGTAGACCAGAACGTTGTTTTGGGGAAACAAACCACACATAAATTTTCTATTTTGCCTTCAATAAGAGCATGTATTTATGTAGTTTCAAAAATATATATCAAGAAATAAAAACATCACCCTTAAAACTAATACCATGGTCTTATCACTCGACTGAATACAAACATTTGAAAACCTGTACTAGCTCCCTCGTACAAATCAAACTCCTTAGCTTGGTAATACGGGGCCCTCACTCTCTAGTCTTCAATGATTGTTGCAGTAGGCACACATCCCATCACTTTGTGTACTATGTTTTTTAGCCATACTGCTGTGATATTTTCCTGTCTCTGCAAATTTGCTCACACTCTCAAAGACGTATCCATTCTTCAAACTACAGTAAAAATCTTCCTTCCTGCTCAAAGGCTTTTTGACTCTCTCCTCCGTTGGAAATAAATTTCAAGCATTTAATTTACACTTCTTAAAAACTTTATGCTCTAAATTGTACAGTTTGGGTGCACGTTTAAATACACAAAGACTTGAAGGAAAAAATGTTGAATAATTCATTTTTCTAAACACTTTCGCAGCCAGCAGAAAAAAAAGGGATTACTTATTTAACTTATTTTTCTATTCTTCCTTATCATTATTATGTATTTTTAGCTGCAGCCTGATTTTTTTCAAGCATAAATAGTTTCATCAGACACTTTTCAATTTTGATTGAAGCCTAATTTTGAATCTATTCGACACAGTTGTTGTCATTTGCTGGGTCTCAAATCCAAATGTAATAGATCCAAAAGTTTAATTTTGCCAAAGTTCAAAAAGAAATAAAACTCCATTGCACTATCAATGAGTGAAAAGACTCAAATTCCATATTTCCTATTATTTGAAGTAAATGAATCTCTCTTCCTCTACCATGGAACCTCTGTATGCTGAGTTTATTTGCTTTACATGGAGAAATACATCCTATAAGGATTTTGTTGGTTTTTGCTTTTTACATTTTATCAGCTTTCTGTCATATCGCTGTGGGAATGACCACCCTGCTTAGCCTGTAGTCATCCACTTACCTCTCTAACAACTCATAATCACAGTTGTCTTAAGAATGTGGTTGTAATGCTTAATGGAACTCTTAGCTGATTCACACCAGAAGAACCTTAGATAGTATATGTTACATATAAGAAGAAAGTTTCATGGTGGCATGAATCAGAATTGTTAAAATGCTTACGCTTTGTTCTCATGTCTAATACTGTAAAAACCATCTTAACTTTTTCTTACATCTTGAGAGCCACAGGCAACGGTACTTGGATTTCCTTCCTTTGTGGACTCAGCTTGAGAGCTTTCATTGTTTCCAGAAGCACTTTGTTGAGGCTTAGAAGAGATGGAGAGAGATAGAAAGAAAAAACCCATTAAATATAAGAGAAATAGTTTCAACAAATAGAGATCCAAATCATTATTGTAACACCATATAATATAGCAACACTGCAATCAAAATAAAAGAATAAAATGAAAATTTGTATATTTCAGAAACCATAAAATATACCATAAAAAAACATAAAATTCTTAACTTTGAAATTGAATAAATTCTGTTTAATTTTGCATTAGTGATGTCCACTGGAATTATTTTCTTACTAAAAAAACTTATGTCTTCCATAACAAGATGTTATTTTAAGGATGCTACTCCCTCACAAAGTATATATGCTGTCCTTTCTTTTTATTTAATTTCCAGTATGTAAGAAATAATAACCTCATTTTCTCAATAGAAAGAAAATGCTTTGTAAAACTTCATAATTTACATAGTGGATAAAATTTACTCCAGTGATTTACTAACCAATAAAATTCTCCTTTATATTTCTGGAAACCCTAAATATTATTCTAGGATTCAGCTCTCTAGAAATACAACTGAAAGAAAAAGAAAAAAAAAAAGAAAGAAAAGAAAAACGGAAAACCTGTTTTTTAGTTCTGGTGAGAGAAGGGTATGCCTTAATTGATGTAAATAAATACCACTACAGGTAAGTTTAAGATTATCCATTCAAATGTGTATATATTTCTTGGGCAGAGCTGACATGAATAGTGTCACACTCAGCTCCTCAATCCATGAGGCTACTGTTGTAGGGCACACAAAAGTATGCTAGTAAATGCTAATTTGCCTGAGTGTGAGACTTTGATCACACTACATCACAGGGGAGGAAGAAATGAGGTTTCTAACCACTAGGGGTCTAGGAAAACGAAGACATGTTCTGGTCAGAGTATTCAAATCTCTCCCAGGTTTCTTTCATCTGTACACTTTCTACACAGCACTCTCCTGGTTTTTCGCAGACAAGTACATTCTTTAGCAGAACATTTTTACAAAAACAATATCTTTATAAAACTAAAATCCAAGAATAAAGTTGATAGAATATTAAATGTAAAAAATAACATGAATAAGGCAACTAGAATATGAGAAAAACAATAGAAAATAAAGTAACTAAGTTCACTAAAACTGATCCTATATAAAGTCAGCCAAACGCTGAGCTCTTGGTATAACAATCAATTAATAAATAAAAAGTAAAAACATTCTTCTTTATTTATACTTGAAGTTTAACTTCATTGGCTGAAGTCCTGAAGGCATTTAGTTTTCCAACTCCCATACTCCCTTTTTCTTCCCTGTCTTTCCTTTGTTTAGGAATCCTACCTCTGACCTCTCTGCTATCTTCTCCAGGAATTAAAAAAAAAAAAATTAAGAAAATAAAAGTTCTTCTTTCTAATCCTATTAAATGTGTTCAATAAGCTTTGGAGTTGGCCTTAAATCAAGCCAATGAACAATTCAGTGTTCTGTGTCAGATGCTTTTGGTAAATACGAAGATGACAAAGGTAGCATTTGGGTTGTCACAAAAATCATATAATCTGTTATTCACATAAATAACTCTAATATAAAGCTTATTAAGTACAAGGAGGCAGAACAGACTTGCATATATTTTAAAAGAATGATGGTCAATTATATTTGGAACAATAAGAAAAGTCCTAGTGAAGAGGGTTTTTGTTTTTGTTTTTTTGAGACAGTCTTGATCTGTCGCCAGGCGCCAGACTGGAGTGCACTGGTGCGATCTTGGCTCACTGCAACCTCCACCTCCTGGGTTCAAGCAACTCTCCTGCCTCAGCCTCCTGAGTAGCTGGGACTACAGACGTGCACCACCATGCCCAGCTAATTTTGTATTTTAGTAGAGACAGGGTTTCACCATGTTGGCCAGGATGGTCTTGATCTCTTGACCTCATGATCTGCCCGCCTCGGCCTCCCAAAGTGCTTGGATTACAGGCGTGAGCCACCAAGCCCAGCCGAAAAGGGTTATTTTTTGAAGTGGTTTACTGAATAACTATGGCAAAAATGAGGGAGGACCATCCAAGTGAAGGAAAACATTTAAGCAAAGAAACAGAACAATGAGACTCAGTTGGTCTGTAGGGTAGGAGGAGGAATAAGCATGAATAAAAATACTACGAAGTGTTGAGCAGATCCCAAAACTCAGCTACAAAATTTGTGCTTAATTTAGCAGCCAAAGGGGGATGGGTGCAGTGCCTCAGGCCTGTATTTCCAGCAGGAGGATCTCCTGAGGTCAGGAGTGCAAGACCAGCCCAGACAACATCATGAGTCTCCTGTCTCTACAGGTTTTTTTTTTTTTTTTTTTTTTTTTTTGTAGTGTGGTAATTTACACCTATAATTCTAGCTACTGAGGAAGCTGAGGCTGGAAGATGGCTTGAGTTCAGAAATTCTAAGCTGCAGGGAACTGTGATTGTGTCACTGTGCTCTGGCCTGGGATAAACTCTAACATAAAGAAAAAAAATTACCCAAGGGGGAGTCCCTTGCATATTTCAAATCAGAGGTGTGATATGGCTAGAGCCCCCATCAGCAGGATATGGCAGTACATCGGCAAAAGTAAAACAGAAGAAAATGAGAGTGGGGAAACTACTACAGATGCAATTTAAATGACCAGGTATATGGCAGCAACAGCTGAACTGAGATGTCAATCCTGGTGAAGAGATTACATAGTAATTGTATGTTCTGAACAAGGGTTAGAATCTATGCCATTTGAAGAATCTAAATAAATATAAAAACTTGAAGAAAAGGCAGGTTTTTAGCAAGAAGGGCAATCTTATATTTTTAATTGAGAGTTTAAAGCACTTGCAACTCCTAAATAGGTAAATATTATTGGATATCAATGTTAAAAACAATACCATTCTTAACAAGGGTCAAAACAGCTATTTATTGTAGCTAAGATCTACTGAACATCCACCACCTGTCTTCCTGCAATCACCAACTTACAGAAGCTTTGAGGACACAGGTTAAAAAGAACAAGGGTAATAACTAAACACTAACAATCTCACCTGGCAATCACAGCAAGAACCACAGCTGTAAAATCATGAAGAATGGATTAAATCACACTAACAGGGAAGGGAAAATTTCAGTGTATTTTGTTTCTAAACAATCAGATGACAGAATAAATAGTCCCAGAATTTCCTTGTAAATTTCTTTTAACATATAGTGGCATTAAATAAAATACATCCATTATTCTAGCAATATCTACTTTTATTTCTGTTACCCTCCCGGTCTTTGTTAATATCCACACGCAGGAATATCTTACACAGTCACAATTATTGTGCCCATGCCATTTTTATTTTGCTTTTACACATAATATAGAATGATGCTACATATGGTTTGTATCTATACTTTACGGGTCTAAAAAATTTTAAGGTGGTTTTTAAAAATGCATATTATTAGTTAACAATTTTGGAAGTTTTCAATTTTGAGTTATATAGACAATATTTTGGTGAACATTAACCTTCTTGGTACCAGCCTGCATAACTCATTTCATTCTAATCACTGATTCAAACATCAGGCTGTCATAGGCTCAGAGCTTCTTAAAGGAAGATATCACGTGTTATTCATAATTTCATCCTTGGAAGCTAGTACATATGTTTCATTCACAAGTTTTTGTTTCCTTCTTTTTCTTTTTCACCATTTACTTATGATATGGTCACATACATAATCAAAGTTAGGTCATTAGAAGCCTTGGACTTTAGTTGACCCAATTCAAGACAGGCTACCAATGGTTAGATGTTCATTTCAGCAGGGTATCTTATACAAGTTGTTTCTACAGTAAAACCATTTTTGTAGTTCACGTATCCCAACCTACTGAAGCAACCTTTATTTCTGCCTATGTCCAGGCTTATCTCTCCCATCTTCTTCCTGATACTATGAGTTATGATGGTCAACCAAGAAATGCCCTTTACTAAAATTGGTAAAGACCAGTATTTTTTGCATGTATCCAGGAAGGCCTGTGTGATACAGGGAATCAAACCAATAAAGTGAAACTGACAACACAAGTTCTGGGATAGTATTTTACCATAGAAACTACCAGAAGGAAAACCTAAATCAGTTAGGAAAGCTCAAAAGAGTAATTACAGGCTCACCAATGATGAAAGTTTTATTTTAGCGTGGGTATTCAATAAATTCCTAAAAATGCAACTATGTAGCAGATGGATCCTTTTCATGCTTGCTTAATTACATTTTCTCATGCAAATATTGTGCATTTATTAAAATGTGCCCAGATTTTGAAGGTAAGGCTGAGGCAAAGAATATATTGAAAATAAATTAATTATCATTTACCTATAATTTATAATTGTGCGTCTTTGATATTTTAGATAGAAGATAAAAGGGGCTTCATTCACTATTAAGTTAACAAAGAGCAAAAAGAAAAGAATGACAGTGTAAGCTTCCACTTCCATGAATTAACGAAAGGCTGCTCTTGTGCTCTTCTATCAGATAATTGGGTTGTCTGGTTTATTACCTCTTTTAATTAATACTAAAGTTATCTCACTTAATTTTACTTTAAAATATGTACATACACTACTTTTAAAAATAGAAAGAAAATATATATTTCTTCATCAGTGTGAGCACCAAAGCATAAAGGTCAATTTTTAATATACAAAAACATAATAATTAATTAATGAACTGCCTGCTTTCAAAAATAATAAATGTCATTCTTCATACATGGACTTTGCTGTCAGTGAGATGGCTCCTTGTGGAAAGAAGCCTTATTGAATCTGATGAATTAACACCAGATTGAGAACGGAATTCAGGGAAAGATAATGTATTTTGAAGTCAAAGGAATGTGGATTTCCATTCTGGATTAGTACTTAAATAAAATGGGCCTCAGTCTGTATATATATATATATATACAGACTGTGTGTGTGTGTGTGTGTGTTATATATGTGTATATATGTATATATAACACACACACACACAAGGATATCCTTAATATACATCTTTATACATCTATCCTTAATTACAAGGAGATATACATAGATATATCTATGTATATCTATATATATATGTA